GCGTGTGCGTGTGCGTGTGTACGTCCCACTCGGGTCTCTTTTTTTCTTGTGATTGTTATCATTTAACCCCGGCCCTCATCTTCTAATCTCTATGTGTACGCGCGCGTTAATTTTTACTATAAATTATTTTTTTTTTAAGTCGTAAATAAATAAATTTTTTTTTTTTAATAGAAAACCGTAGATATTATTATTATTATTATTATTATTATTATTATTATTATTATTATTTAAAACTTCAAAATGTCAGGGAAAAACATTTGGTAATAAAAATTATTAAGAACGCCACCCAGATGCATTTTTTTATAAAAAAAAAAAACGTTAGCGTTGTATTTATTGGCTATAAAATTATACTATAATAATATTTATAGTTACAAAGAGTAATAATAATAATAATGATAATAATGATAATAATGATAATAATGATTTCTTTTTTTTATAATGTTATAAATTACGTAAAAAGAAAAAAAAGAAAAAAAAGAAAATTAATTAGATTGACATAGAATCCTAAATTTTTCTCTTTTTAGTTTAAGCGTATTTGCGTAAATTTATGCGTGCGTTTGCGTGTGGGTGCGTGCAAGTGATCACGAATCAAAAAACGCGCGTTTTTGCCGACGTTTTAAAAATTTTCACCCGCAAAAAATGGTTTCGATAAATTATTATTACCACGCATTGATTCGATTCGGAAAACTGGATAACACGCGCGTTTATTTTTTTAATGTTTAGCTTGTCGCCTCAAAATAACACCCCCGTGCATCCCCCTCACTCCCCTTCTCTCTAACGCGCGTTTAAGTCGAATTAAGTTCAATTAATGCATTCGAGATGAAATTACGCGTAAGAAAAAAATTTTTTTTTTGCAACAACGATTAATAATAATAATAATAATTATTATTATTATTCATCGGGAAAACGACGAAAGGAAAATTTAATTTAATTGAAATTAATGTGTATCGTGTGCGCGGCCGTTAAAAAAAAAAATTTATCAGCGATGAGAGGAAAAATATTTGTATGTTGAAAGCGTGAGTGATGGTGCAAAAAAAAAAAAAAGTTTTAAGCCTGGAATGGCGGCAGGTACGAACCAAAGGAAGATCCTGTTTGTTACGTCAAACATGATGAAAAAATATTTTTTTTTTATACCTTTCAAGGTGTTTAAACAAACGACGCTCACGATGATTATATTTTATATATACACCTTTTAACTGTTGCGTACCTGATTAAATGTTATAAAACAACAACAACAACCAATAATAATAATAATGATTTTATAATAAAAAAAAAAAAAGTTTATTTCCTAAATTTTT